CCCAAGATGGCCGCAGGGTCAAGTTCTGGATTGATCTCTGGCTCGGTAGCTCCCCTTTGTGTAAGGCCTTCCCCACCCTTTTCTCTCTCTCTTCCATAACTACCTCTTCAGTTGCCAATGAATTGCCTTTCTCAGGGGGACGGAGAACCTGGACTCCCTCCTTCCGTAGAAACCTCTCGGAAGAAGAAAGCTCGCTGTTTCAACAACTTCTGGGTGTCCTTTCTTCCCACTTTCTCCCGCTTTCTGAGAGTGATAGTCTTGTCCGGTGCCTTTCCCCCTCTGGTCTTTACCGTCACCTCTTTCTACAAGAATCTTACTCAATCCCCAACCTTTCCCCTTAACCCCACTTCTACCTCGTCGAGAGTATGGTCCACCATTGCCCCACCTAAAATTCAGGTTTTCACTTGGATCGCTTGCTCTTAGAGAGCCTTCACAATCGACCAACTTCAAAAACGTGGTCTCTCTACACCCAATAGATGCGCCCCTCTGTCTTTGTGAGGAGGAATCCAACCCTCACATTGTCATTCATTGTGATTTCTCCCATAATCTCTGGTCACTCTTGCTTCAATTATTTCGTATCCAATGGGTCTCGCCACCCACGGTCCGAGCCTTGATCTCCTTTAACTTCGAAGCCCAGTGGCCTCTGGCAGGAAAAACCCTCTGGAAGGCTGCGGTGGCCACAACCATTTGGACCTTATGGCTTGAAAGGAACAACTGTATTTTCAACAGTGCCCACCTTACTGTACAAGCTCTATTCCACAAGGTGGTCTCGCTGACGACCTTTTGGGCTTCCAATCACAAGACCTTCTCTGGCCTTTCTAGGAACACCCTTCTCTGCCATTGGAAAAATGCCCTCTTCCACAAGCCTCCAAAACCCTCAAGGGCAAGCAACTGGAAGCCTCCACCTGAAGGCAGCATCAAGTTAAACTTTGATGGCTGCTCTTTAGGTAACCCGAGCCCTTCAGGCGCTGGGGGGGGCATTCAGAGACTGCCAGCGAAATGTTCTCCTCACCTTCTCTGTACCTTGGGACCTTTGACTCCCAATATGCTGAAGCTTCGGCCCTTCTTCTGGGGTTGGGATTTTGTGACCCGTCCTGGGGCAATCGTCTGATTGTGGAAGGAGACTCCCTGAACACCATCTCTTGGGCCAGCGGTTTATCCCCCCCCATCTTGGTATTTTTCTTCCATTTTTGATGAAATTACCCACCTTTGTAGGGATACGAGCATGGCAGCATATCTGGAGGACCTCCAACGATCTCATGGACCTTTTGGCGAAGGAGGGAGCTAGCCTACACACAGACATCCAGGCCACATCCAACTCCTTTTTTGTTTTGGACCACAGTCTCTCAAGATAGCCCACATTCTATCGCGTCAGCCACTGTTTTGGCCTTTCTTTTTTTCTCCTAACTTCTTTCTTTTTTCTCTCTGTAAATCTTGATTGTAGGGCGAATCTTATAAGCCCATGTGCATGTAATCGACTGATGTATTTTTTACTAATTGCTACCCAGTGAGGGTGCTTTTCAGTCCTACACTTTTTGTAATCCGGAACTCTCTTTAGTAATACAATGTTAACAATTATCAAAAAAAAAAAAAGGTGAATTGGATGTTTGGTGGGGGTCCTATCATTCAGTTTCCCCCAAATCCTTGGAGAAACCCTATAACCGGTCTTGATCCTCAAATCCATCAACCTGGTTTTTACTCACTCAAGGTTTTCGGTTGAACACAACAAGAGTGGTAGGGTCCAAAGGCTTCATCCTTCAAATTTGGCAGCAAAAGTTAATGCAGATCAAGGGTAGGTCGACAAGATTGAAAACGATGACTGTTAGGTGGAAAACCGTAGAAAACCAAGAGATTTTTGAAAAAAAATCGAGATTCTAACACTTGAATGAATGAAGATGACATAGCGAAGAGGAAGGCACATCGATCTAGCAGATTGCTGCCACCTATCTCGTGGGAGATGTGACATACTGGCAAGCAAAAATCCCCACCCCCCAAAATTCAAACCGCAACATTCCTTGAATTCCACTCAGGTCCTTATCCCAACCTTCACCTTACTTAAAAATCAAATTTCAGTTGGACCCTTGGCCCCATGAAAGATCACCCCCCACCATTGGATCTACAAACTCTAGACCAATTGTCTATGCATGTTTCTCATACTGCACATGGACACGTACGCTTTAGTCCATCCATAATTCGCCACTTGCTCTATCCTATCCATCACCGTCCATGGATCACTGAGAGAATTTGACAGCACTTGGAGACCCTCTAGTTATGACCCACTAACCTTGCTCATCCGAGCTCCCCCCCCCCCCCCCAACACCCCAAAAAGAAAACAAAAAAAAATAAATAAAGAAAAAAGAAAGGAATTGGTCGCTCATCTCAAACCCTGAACAGCTCTAACCCAAAGTCATCTCAATTACCCACCTTCCAGGTTTCAAGATCCAATGTTGGCGTGCTGTTAATTAGGGGCCCATTACCAGTGATTTAAAAAGTGAACCGCGCAGCGCCTAGGCGGTCCAGAAGGCCTTGGTGTATCGCTTAGGCGTAGGCGGCCAAATTAGGTGGGATATCCCTGGGTGCCCGCCTAGGCGGCCAAATTAGGTAAGATATCCCTGGGTGCCCGCCTAGGCTCTTGGGAACCCGCCTAAGGCCTTTTTTTGGTTATTGTTTTAATACTAATGGGGAAAAATTGTGGGTTTTAGTTTCATTTGAAACCTAAAACCCATTAGAGCCTATTTTAGAGAGAGAAAACCCCAAAAAACTAGTTGTTGGTGATTTTCATAGGATCAAAAGGTTTCTCAAAGTTATGAGAAGTTGATCTAAGCATCACCCATTGATATTAGATTTAGTTTTGAATGTTTTTATAAATCTATTAAAGATTTTGGAGTATGGAGGAGTGTGTGCTATGTGAACTTTGTACTATACATTTGATGTGCCCTAAATCCCTAATTCTTATGTGTTATACAGTAATACTTATATTGTTAGACTATAGAGATATTTTTTTTCTACTAGGCCACCCAGGTTCTGGGCGCCCGTTTAGGCGCGCCTAGGCGTCGAGCGGCCTGGACCCCCTTGGCGCCGCCTAACGTTTTTTGAAACATTGGCCATTACATTATTGCCCTTTGTTTCATGTCAGGATACAATTCAACCGATTGACGGTCTTGATGACTAGATCCATCTCCTGTACCCTTTGCGACACCATAGCCACAAACGACCAAGATTTGCCCCCAGTTGTAACCCATCTCTCTACCCCACCTCTTTACCCTTGATTCAAATTAAATATCAGCCATCCTCATCCGACATTAGTGTTCCAAAAATAATTGGGAAACACTTCGGTGCCTGTGCCCTGGGGAGTCTTAGCCGTCTAGTGCCTAGGCGGCTGCCTTGGGGGCAAGGGGTGTCTAGCATTTATATTCCAAACAAAAAAACACCAAAAATACCTCACCCAATGGGTACTTTTGCACCTATGCGGGTGCAGTCCCTTGGGCGCCCACTTAGGTGGAGTCCTTGGCAGCACCTAGGGTCCCTAGGCAAGCGCTCAGGGAAAACCTGCCTAGCTGGTCTGTCTAGGCCTAGGCAATGTGCCCGGGCCGCTTAGCCCGTCTAGGAACTGGGCAGACCGCTTTTTGAATCAATGGACAACATTATGTCCATAGCACCGACTTTGATATCAATGCTGAGATAAATACCATCATACTGGCTTAATTATCAATTGGCTAGATGAATCCCCACGCCATCCAGTGAGAGCCTCAACCCCCAAGCACATTATTTTATCCCAAAAATGCCCCCCACATACCTCATTGGTGATCGGTCACAATTGCTCCATGATCACACCCTCAGAGATCACTTGGATTACCCACCTGAATGTCGGCACATCAGCAGATATTCATCTAAGAGAGAGACAAATGGACGCCCACAACCTCGCCATGATGGAAAGCCCGCCCTTCATGTACCTTGGATGAGATGGGTTTATGTCAACTTGTGAAGAATTGCAGCCAGGAGGGCGCCAGGATGGCATCACAAGAGGTTCCAACGGATCCACCACCCATATGTATTCCTTTTCCTCCTCTCTCTTTCTCTCTCTCTCTCTCTCTCTCTCTCTTCTTCCTCCTATCTTTCCAGCACCTTCTACTTTCTCTGCCCTTTTTTCTCTGTTCTCCATCGCCTTTCTACACCTGTCTGCTCTCCCAACTTTGTATCCTAACTTCTCATCCAAAATCATCTCCACCTCTTAGTGTCATCAAGTGCAACTTCAATGGTTGCTCTCTTGGCAAACCAGGTCCTGCAATCGTTCATGGGATCTTTAGAACTGATTTGCTCAAAATTTTACTGTTGTATTCGGGCACCATTACGTGGTCAACTCTACTAAGGCTGAAGCTGTGGCAATGTTGGAGAGTGTTAAACTGTTTGACTACGGTTGGGGCCACTACCTTGAAGTGGAAGGGTTAAACGAATGCTATCACATTGGCCTCTAGGGAGACCCATTGTCCCTGTTGTTGGAACAAGTTTTTGACGAAATATTTGAGCCTCGTAGCACCTTAGAGTTTCCTTCAAGCACGTGTGGAATGAGGTATACTGGTCAGGATGCCTTAGCAAAGGAAGGTGCTGCTACCAATGGTTTTGTAGTAATCAGGGCTCGGTCCTGAACAAGACATTTTGTGTAGTACATTGTAAAAATTATTTGTTTGGTCCTTGTCCTTGTTGAACAGATATTGCTATGATGCAACCATGTAAACCTTTATAATATAACTACAAAGTTAAACTTTCTTGAGAAAAAGGAAACTGCCCTTACGGTAATTATGCTCTCTCTCTCTCTCTCTCTCTCCCCACCCCCCTTCTCCTCCTCCTTCTTTCTTTGTATAGTTTCTGGTCCAACAATCTGTCCATTTCAACATGCTATCCATCACACAGGCCTGCAAACTAATGAAGCTAACAACTAGTAATTTTTGCAAGATTTGAGCTTGTTCACAGCACTAATGCTCACTATGCATGTGCACTAGGTTCACAAAAGCTTACAGAGAATTCGTGAGAGGAAGCTCGTCAATTTTATTGAATGGGGCCCTGCCAGCATCCAGGTGATTATTTTATATGTTTAATTCTGTTCTCCATACTGGAAAATTTCCCATTCTTTCATCTTTACTGGAGACACTTAGTTTTTTCCAAAGAGTTAATTTGAGTGGAAACTCATTACATATCCAATGCATTTGTAGGTGGCGTTGTCTAGAAAGTCTCCATATGTTCAAACCGCACATAGAGTAAGTATTTCAGAAAATATCAGTGACAAAATTATTTATTGTCATTGTGTTTATCTCAATTTCAATGTTCTTTGGAAGTTTGCTGTTAGTTCCTACTATTATGGATTTTTGCGCTGGTACTTTACTCTTCTTTGCAGAACTACATCATTTTCTTGTGCAAGGAGAAGAGTCTAACACATTGTACATGAATTAATATTTTATGGTTTGATGAATTGTATTATAGGTGAGTGGTTTGATGCTCGCAAGCCATACTAGCATAAGGCATCTCTTCGGCAAGTGCCTAAGCCAATATGAAAAGCTACGGAAGAAACAGGCCTTCCTTGACAATTACAGGAAGTTCCCAATGTTTGCGGTAAGTTGTTGCCCCTGCTCCATCATGTAAATTTTGGTCATATATTTTGTTGGATTATGTAAAATTTGGGGCAAGTGAACCTTTAGTTTCTCACTTGGTAGAGATTTATCTTTTTAATAATTGAGCTATTGCCCAAGAGTTATTCAGTCGTTGTGTAGTTGAATGAATTTTATAGCAAGTGCTGCCACTATTGTCATTTGCATTATCTAAGTTAGAAGCATGGCCTAGTGTCCAGCATGAATCTACAAAAAGTAAAATGACTTTGGGATAACAATAACATTGAAGTTTATGCTTCATGAGCTTGAATTTGTATGTCAAAAGTAATAATAAAAAAATTTGTATGTTGTGGTTTGTACTATTTGCAGTTTGGCAGAATTTTTGCACCTAAGCAAAGAAAACAATTATTTGCTAAAAAACAATATTTTTAATTCCTTATAATGAAACTAGAGTTGAATGTGCATTGGTTGCTCATATCTAGTAATATTTGCAGGGTGCATTATATGGTGTTCCTATGGGGCAGCATTGTCAATCTTAGAAGGCGAATTGAATTGGAACATTTTTGGAGCTCTAAATTATTGATTTCTTTTTTTTTTGAAAGATGTTAGAGATGAATAAGAGTGATAGAGTTTTGGAGTCAAATGAGTCCATCTAGCTGTTGGTGATTCATTAGTAAAAAATTCTGCCACTTGCCTGCCTAGTCTGTGGGGAAAATAAAAAAAGTATAATATAGGCAGGTGCCTAGGCGGACATGTTCTTAGGCACCTGCCTAGTGCTCAGCGCCTAAAAAATATAAAAATAAAAATAAAGGAATGTAATCCCCCTTCAAAAAAAAAAAGTTAAGGTCTACAAAGAATGGTTAAGACCCTCCTTTCTCTCTCTTGCTCACGTGCCCATGTGCTCTCTCTCTACATATAAGAAGAAGAAAGAAATGAAGATGGCTTCCAAGTATTTGATGAGAGACCTCTCTCCCTCTCTCTCACGAACACACATATACACAAACACATAAATTGATTTATATGCTCTCTTTCTACATGTAAGAAGAAAATTAAGAAGATGGCATCCAAGTGTTCAATGTGGGGCCCCTATCTCCCGCTCGTACATCGAAGTATTTGATGAGAGACCTCTCTCCCTCTCTCCCACAAACACACATATACACGAACACATAAATTGATTTATATGCTCTCTTTCTACATATAAGAAGAAAATTAAGAAGATGGCATCCAAGTGTTCAATGTGGGGCCCCTCTCTCCCGCTCATACAGACTCATTCTATCTCTCTCTACATATAAGAAGAAGGAAAAGAAGAAGATGTCCTCCAAGTTTTTTGTTGCAAGACCTCTCTCACACATACACTGACCCATATGATCTCTTTCACATTCTATATAATATAAGAAAAAAAGAAGATGGCCTGTAAGTATTTGATGCAAGGCCTCATGCGCACACACGCTATATACATATATATGTGTGTGTGTGCGCATGCGCGCGCTATATATAATATACACACACACACACACCACCACCACCACCACCACTATCACCCTCACCACCGACTCCTTACGTCCCCCTGGAGGCTGCCTCAACCTTTTTGAGCACTGGTTGTATTCCAAGGAATAGCCAGGGTTCTGCATGCTAGACATACATGATTTGACCCTGTGACTCCTTAAAACTGATGTCTAGTCAACAGTGGAAGGATGGTGTTATATCCTTGATGCTAGCCTAGGCAGGGGAAAGGGCCAATAGTCCTTATGCCTTTGAGCATGGAAGGCAATCATTTGTAGCCAAGGGGAGAACGGTCTTTTGAAACTATATGGTGCAGCCTGAGAGAGGCCTTGGGTAAGTCCTCAATACATCTTGGCTGAAAACAATGATAAATCCAAGCCCATGGTGAAATATTCATAAGAAGCACACCTGTGTTTCTCTGTGCAAAATACAATTTTCATTCGTCTTGGTTTCGCAACTTGTGAAACCGAGTTGAATAAAAATTGCATTTTACACAGGGAAAACGAGTTAAAAATTTACCTGTAGAAAGATTGTTTCTGAGAGACGTACTGTAGAAAGATTCTTCCTGAGAGACTTATTGTATTTGAACCCTAACTTGTATTGATATTTCGATGGGAACCAATTTTAATGGGAACCACTTTGCTCATCTGCCTATTTGGTCATTTCTACTGAAACTGAATCAAAGACTTTAAACATAGAATGACTGATCCGAATTTCTACATTCCTTTCAATCAAAAGTAAGAATAAGTCCCCAACCCAAGTACTTGAGTACCCTGTCTTCTTAGTCCTCACAGGAAGAAAAGAACTCTGACAAAGGTGGCTGGTCCAGATTTGGTTATCCCTTGGGAAGAAAGTGTATAACTTTTAGTGCTGGCAAGCGGTAGCCGCCCATAGGATATGATGGTCAGTTGTCACCTGTATGAAAGCAAAGAGAGGCCATTTGTTTATTAGATGGAGCAATACGGAGCATGTGTCTCTTGCTGCCAGGTTCAATAAGGAAGAACAAGGGACTTCTTAGAAGTCAGACAGTGGTGTGGGTGGACTCACTTTAGAGCTTAAGGTCTCAAGCAAGGAGGGTTATTGAGGTCTACTCTGGGAATTCTGGTTCACTGTAATCGGTTAACCACTAGATAAAGAGGGAGTATTGACATGAAGTCCAGATGGGCTCTATCTTGAACCTCCCTATGTGTGGGCTTGAGATCCTAAAAGGATCCTGATACTCTCCAATGGCGGCTTGAGATCCTAAAAGGATCCTGAGACTCTCCAATGGCACATATTGTCTCTTTCTTGCCCAAACGATGACACTGTCTATATGCTACTGTTTTTGCTGGTTGTGCAAAATAAGAAAGTCACTGGTTCATGAATTATGGTTCATCGAATTGTAGTGAAATTTTCAACACTAGAAGGACCTTGAGTCTAGTTGATGTACACAAAAATGTCGGCTCGAAACTATTCGTAAGGTGTTAGATATTTTGTAATTGTGGCTACTTTGTACCTGCAACTTTCAGAAGCTCCCTTTACACCTATCTCAACTGCACTCTTAATGTCAATAACGTCTGAAAAGTTGCAGGATGGCCAAGAGAGGTCACGAGGGAACTAGTGAAAGTAGAAAATTTGGATTGTGGAGACTTCTCTTTTTGACGTGGAAGCTCAGATTTTCATACTTTCTACGTTTGAGGTCTTTTGCACTGTTGTAGATCCAATCCCAAGGAGACCTACGAACATGCAGGCTGCTGAGTCCTCGACCATTGAGCCCATGCTGATCAAATGGAGAGATGATGATTATGTCTGCAGGGAGACCATCGTGAATGGCCTATCGCATAGACACATTAGAGTCTATGGTGGTGTTGAAACCGAAAGGAACTATGGGAGGTTTAGGAGAGGAGATTCAATCTCGCATTAACAACAAATGAAGTCCATGCTGCTGGCTGATTATTTCTTTGACAGATGGATGTGTTGATGCATATTGGAGAGAACTTCAAGATTATGCAGACCATGGTGGTGGACCTGGAATCAATTGGGGGGCTCTTCTCTAAAGAGCAAGAGATAGTCGCTATTATCAGTGCCTTACCTCCTATGGCGGCAGAGTTCCAGCTGTGGCTTTGACATCCTCAAATGCTGAAACCTGAAGAGGAGCTTTATACATCACTGGTGATTGAAGAAAAACTATAAAAAGTCCAAAAACCAGGCATGATAGTAGCTATACATGGCTGTGGAAGACAAGAAAGAAATTAGGAAACTGAAGGAGGCCTCAAGCCTCTCAACGAACGCAGTCGGCTCAGCTAAAGGGCTAAAGATCTGACTTCAAGAAGAAACTCAGATACTTCCAGTGTGGCAAGTTTGGACATTTCAAGCATGATTGTAGGTCCAAAAGGAAGGAAGCAGTTCACATTTTTGGGGCGGATGTGGCTGTGGAGGCCCTGAACATTGGGAGACCAGCTGGTTTGAGGATTCAGGAGTTTTGAAACACATTTGTTATGATTTTAGGCTGTTATTTTCCTTCAAAGATTGAGCGAGGTGGGCGAAGTGGAGATGTGCAATCGGAATTTTATATGATCATTGCATACCAATGAAGCTGAAGGACAAGTTTTATAGGACAGCTCTGAGACCGCTTTGCTCTATGGGGCAGAATGTTGGGCGGTCAAAAAACAATATATCCATAGAATGAGTGTAGCGGAGATGAACATGTTGAGATGGATGAGTGGCAGGATAAGAAGAGATAGATTTCTAAATGAATCCATTTTGGAAAAATTTAGGTGTGACACCAATAAGCAATAAGATGAGAGAAAGTAGACTTAGGTGGGATGGCCATGTGTGGCGCAAACCCAATGCAATTCCTGGTAGGAGGTGCGAGTTAATTCAAGTAGAAGGCTAAGAAAGGGCTAGGGGTAGGCCCAAAAGGACATGGTTAGAAGTAGTGAGAAAAAATATTGGGACTTATGGCCTCACTAAGGGTATGACCCTTAATAGAGTAGAATGGCGGACCAGGATTTGTGTAGCCGACCCCTATTAATTGGAAAAAGGCTTATGATGATGAAGATGATCTTCCTTCAAAGACTATCAACTGAGAGGTGCAACGGCATATAATTCCTCCTCTCTAAGTGGTTGGTGTGGGTAATGTAACTCTCTCTCTCTCTTTGCCCAATCTTTGTTATAAAAGATATGCTTTATGTACTGGGTAGCCGTAGGAACCTCATTTCAGTGGCCACTCTATAGAAATAAGGCTTGGAATTATGCTTCGTATCTGGGAAGCTGATTATGTTAAAAAACAAAAAGTTTGTTAGGTCTGGAGCTCAGATGCATAATTTGTATAGCTTGAATGAACGATCTGTGAGTGTGTCGTAAAGTCAGTGGTTGTATGGCACAAAAGGTTGTGGCAAATGAATCATAATCTTGTGAGGCATTTTGCATGAAGAGACCTGATTAAGGCCTGTAGGTTAGATCCACAATCTCTTGAAACGTGATTGCTGGAAAGTTGTCAAAAACTCCTTTTAGGGAAAA